ACAAAACCCCCACCAACACTGGCAGGGCATGCCACCGTATATAAACAGAGAGCAAACCCCATTCCATTCTAGCACTGAAGATGTTACCTAGTCAGGTAACGAAACTTTGCAAGAAAACAACCAAGCTCAGAGAACCCCAAGGACGCCACAGTTCAACCCTGAGTTATACAGATTCACTTGGAAGGTAAGAAACTGCAAGAATAGAATTCCAAGGACACAAATGCTCAAATATGTTGGTTTATTGTAGAAAAGCCCGAAAAGCCATTAGGAAGAATCCCAACAATTGTTAAGTATCAGATACAAGTTTTATTTATTGTGAAATCAGTTCACATTCTTGTGCCTCTTTCTCCTACTTGCTCTGTGCAAAGGGCTACAAGTCACTCTCTTTGGAGTAGGAGAGACAGTTTCCATGTGTTTCTTGCTTTGGTAATGTACTGATCTGGTATCAGACTTTTGCTTTTAACCATATGAAAATTTGCCTTTTAATCCTTCCCCACCCCTAGCCCCAATTTGGATAATTATTGTGATTCCATCTCCTCTGTAATGGTTACCGGCTGTATTCCATGTAGCTCTTGGAGGCACTAGAAATTAACAAAAGAAACAAAAGTGGACTTCAATTGTAAAAATATTGCCTACCCTTTAAGTGCATAGGAGCGTATTTTCACCTTTATATGTGCTTTTCTGCAGATATTGAAGAGGATACATCAATACACTCAGGGAGGGTTTTTGGTCAATTGTAACACTTTGATTTTTCTGACATGCCTTCATACATTATTGAATACATTTAACATTCTAGTTTCTAATCTTCTTTACATCTCTCTCTCTCTTTCTCTCTCTCAACACAGTTTAGCTATATGCTATGGAATTATAGGCAGTATTTTAGACTAAAAGACCTCATTTGTGAACTCTTCATATAATGTGTCAATTATGCACAATATCTGTTCCTATCTCTTTGCAAATACTATCTCAAAGTTTATGTGATATTTGTTGTGAAAAAGGATACAGATTCCAGAAAACAGTATAGAATATTATTATTTGAAGACAAATAGGGAGAGAAACATTAGACAAGTTATGTCTAGACAGGCTAAAAGAAGAATGGGCAATTGGCAGCAGAGAAGCAATAGTAGAAGGGGTGCATAACAATTGTCCCATACAAAATTGCCAAGTGGTTCCCTTCTGGGATAAACTGTTCTGTTGTCCTATTTCCTAACTGAAAATCTCTTGTATTGCCTGTGTTCAAAATATATTATCCCTACACTGCACAATTACCCAGTCAGATCAAATGAATTTCACACAATTCTGTTCCATTCAGATGCAGAGCACCAGATAACTCACAGGGTAGCAAACCTCTCTGTGGCTGCAGTGAAAACCTAACAACAGATCATGCACATGATGCCTTGAGTTTAACAGTATTTTACAGAACTGTGTTTGATCTTTGAATGTAAATAAAGATGTGTTTGTTATATCATGTTGAAAACATCTGATAGGAATCTAACAAGCTATATCCACAGACAGAAACAGAGAAAGTTTTAATATAGGTAAATAAAACTTGGGTTGAAAGTTACAATCAGTAACTTGGGTGAATGTCACATGCCTCCCTTCTCTCATGAGTAACTCATAAGAACAATAAAAGTTCTTTTTAATATATATCTATATTCATCTATGCAGTAGTAGCTTCTGATTTCAACTTTCAAATACATTTTTTTTTAAATGTTATTTGAGTTGCATTAGAATAGTCATTATGGCTTGTGCATATAACAGAAACAAGAAATACTTCAACTGGTTGTGACACATCAGAAAAGGAAAAGAAACGATTTCTTGGATTTTTCAAGACAAGTAAGAAAAACAGCAAGGTAAATGCTCTCTTTGTTTATTGAACTAATTATTCCTACTTATCTGTGTATGCTTTTCTCGTGTAGCTTGTATTTAGCATGTGTTTGCTAAAATGCCTCTTTATTGCACCTTTGTGAGAATTAGATATTGACCAAGTGCACGTATCAGTAATCCACTGCTGCAGGTGAGGTATAGATTTATTCTCTCATTCGTTTGTAATCATTCTTTCAGCTATACCTCATGCTTGACAGAGCCATAGTTCTTACTCTCTTGGGAAGCTAGATTAAAAAAAGTATTTTTGGCAAGTGATGATATCTCTGTTTTGAAAATTTGATGATCCTATGAATATCAGACCAAAATGTGGCAACTATAGGACAATCTGAGTTCATGTTTCAGCTCCTGAATTGCATTTTCAATAGCAAAGCAATCTTAAAAAACCCCTACTGAGCATTCTCACATTATTTAAAACAAATTGATTTGCAAAAACAGGACAGTTGATCTCATTATTCCAAAAGCTGCTTTATATTTTCCACTGAAATTAATATACTAATTAATTTATTTCTTTCCATTTCTTTTAATTTACTTGTAAAGATAATGTCTGTTAGTGCCAATCCACCCGAGGTTGAATGGAAAAATGGAGAATGGGCTGCTAACTCGCCAAATGACTACATAAAACAAAAGTCCAATCCTACATTTTGAGAAAGGCAGATGTGATACTTGGAGAGTGTATAAAACATTTCTTGAAATATTAGTATTTCTTAAGCACTGAGCATATTGATACCTACAAGTCATGCATATGGATTGAGAAATGTGTAGTTTTTCTATGTGCATTCTCTGTGACTTACACATATTAGTGATTCAGCTCATATTACCCTCACATATATGTATTAGGATAAATGTTGAGAGATAAGACTGCTCAGATAATTAAAAGTTAAGAACAGTGTTTCTAAAATATATGTAGGACCCTAGATATAAATTGTAATACTTTATTGTGTAAAGTGTACTCATAATTCTAGAATAAAATATTTGATTTCAGTTGTCTTAAAAAACTAGGAAGGTAGCACAGTAGGAAAGTGTCTTCATGCCTTGTCCCCTTGATATTACTGATTGAGGCTTATTTCTCTTGCTGATAAGCTTCCTAATGTAAATCAGTCCTCTCCTGACTGAAGCACAGTAGAGGCAAGGATGATGACTCTGCTCCTCATCAGAGACAGAGATTAATTCTATAGCCAACTACTGATTCCTGCAGCAAGCGTGTTCATTTGGGATGGGAACTGTGTGTATCTTTTCCAGTAGACTTCCTACTGTATTCTGTAGTGTTGAAAAGGGCAAATATACATCTCTATATGCATTAAATTTGACATACATTTTCTATCTAAGAATGCTAGAGATTTACTCCAGTCAAATCTGCAACTTTGATGAATGTGTATGTTGTGCTCCATCGTCTAATTCTTGCTCCTAAGGAAAAACGTAACTCAGAGAATTCAAAATCTGTTGCATTCCTCCCTTTACCTCATGCTCAGAATAACTCCCTATCAGTACCTGTGTGTCAGGTTTCCAAATAGTGAGCAAGCAGCCATTGAATCTGTGGTTGGTTTTCTACACAGTGCTTTTATAATCTTCTTGACTGAGTGCTGTTCATAGTTAGGCATGGAATATATTTCTTCAAAAAGATTGTGTAGGATTTTTATCTGTATTCCAGGCAGAAGAGTCCTCAAGAACAAGCCTAGACTGGGATGGTGGAGAACCTTTAAAATCCATAACATCTAGTAAACAGAGTCTTGATGTAAGTACTAACTTAGCCACTAGGTAGTGCTGCTATGATATTAAAGGATTAATATATTCTAGCTGTTTGCTGGAAAGTCTGTTGAGGTGTAAATAACTGTACTCTTGCCAGTGGAATTGAATCCTATATTATTAACATGTCTGGTTGAAAGACAAGCAAACAAAGCATGGCATGCACAAGGACCAACAGAAAAAAGTGGAAAGGTGTGTTCAGTATCAAAAGTAAATGTAAAAATGTAATATTCACTAATGTAAAAGAATAATTCAGTGCGTATTCAGTAAAACATTTTGAGAAATATGACTTGAACCATATTCAGATATACGTACTGTAAGTATCGAAGATTAAAAAAAAGTTTGTTTTGTACTTTATATAACTCTGATTAAGAACCCTCCAAAAGAACCTGGTAGCCACTACATGGAAATGAGCAGTTAAAATCTAAAGCAACATGAAACTCAAGGTGTAGTGTGGCATAAAAGATTAATCAGAGGATAAAAAAGCCCTTTGTACTATTGCAATTCTATTTTTACTGTAAGCCACCCAGAGTCACCCCACAGTGAGATGGGTGGTGACAAATTTGAAATATAAATAAATAAATAAATAAATAAATGTGCTTTTTTAGAATTTGACCTTCCATGAAAGGATCAGTTAGCTTAAACCTCTGAATATTAGGATACCTTCAGGCATACATCTTTCGACTGTCCTTGTACGCTTGATTAAATGCTGGATCCAGACGAAGTCATGAGTCATTTGTCTTATGGATTTTAGCGCCACCGAATCATTATTATCTTAGTTTGGATTTAGCTTGGTCTAAACTGCTGACAGTTTCCCAGTTAAAACTATGGTTGAGTCTGTCCATGTGTTGTGAGATTAAGGAATTTTCATTCCTTGTCAATTTTCATTGTCACAGAACTCTTTATGTCCATAAACCCAGAACTAGCGAAAGAATCCATATCATCAGTACTACACAACACACCCGACTTAACCAAATTCACCCAGATTGAAATACCCAGAATCATGGACCTCATCAACCTCTGCCTCACTATCTATTTTCATACACAAGCTATGAAAAGGATCACACTACCAAACATCAGAAACGTCTCAGAAACCACCAACAGCCTATTACAACTACAAGGCATCTCTGTAACACACAAGCCAACAA